GTTCCTATTTAATAACTTGAGCATTGTTTGGACTATCGAAATTCTTTTAATAACTTTTTGTCGGGAGGGTCCACAGATGCTGTGTGCAAAGTTTCATGCCAATTGGTGAAATTGCCTTGGAGGAATTCGAAAAAGTAGGTTTCTGACATTTTGCGAATTTGCGGGAAAAAAACGGAGGCGGAAATGGGCGGAGGCGGAAATGGGCGTATATATACCCTATACCACAAGATTCAGCACAATTCACTGAACGCGTGGATATAAGGTTTTTGAATGTGCTACAAAGTATATGGGAGTTATGAGCCAAAACGCACTTTCCTTAATAATAGCGCCCCCTAGTAGTGGAAATTCAGGAGGACAATAGATTGTAAAATTTTTCGCCAGGTGTGACTTATATTCCAAGTTTCGTAAGTTTTGGGGTATGTTCAGGCAGTGAAAAATGCGATCATTTTGGCGGAAGAAAAAAAAAAATATATATATATACAAATAATCAGGAGAAAAACAATAGGGACCTCGCAGGTCTGTGACCTGCTCGGGCCCTAATTAAAGCTGCAAGCAGCTGTGATTGGGTCATCACTCCCCCATGCAACCGTGGGGGCCTGAGGCACACGGGGGCTGTGGCGCGAAGAGAGAAGGGAGAAAAAAACTGGCAGGAGCGAAAAAAAGGCAATGTTTTGTTCATCCACCAGGGGCATTGGGAGTGTAACTAAATGTGTGCAGGTGTGTCCAGGGGCGGACCCTCATCACACATGTGAAGTTTTGAGCAAATCCGACAATGTCAATGTATAATAGGGCATTTCCTGTTTCCACAAGGGGGCAGCATGAGCAAGATTGCCTTCGAGCATATGGAGGCATTGAGGGCGGGGCTCTTATCATGTACAGAAATTTTGAAGCAGTTTGGATGAATTATGTGGGAGAGAGAGCTGCTTGAATATGCATGGAGATGGATCAAAAATGGCAGCGCCATTGCAGCCAAGCCCTTTGACCTACAGACATGCCAGTCAATTGGAAAGTCAAAATCAAAATGGCCGACTTCCTGTTTGGAGTAGACCATTGGTGCCAGATACTTTTATGTGCGCCTGGACAACATACACATATGTACCAATTTTCATGTTCCAACTCCAAAAAAAACCCTATGGGGAGGGTTTTTTGAGGGGGCACTATAGAGGCATTTTGTCCCCCCATGGGTGACGCCCCTATCAGATGTAAGAGCTCGCCATTCTTGACCTGTGTATCAATTTTCATGAGGATATGAGGTCACTGAAGCCATCAAAATGCCAAACGTATTTAGTGGTGAGGGATCAATAGTCGCCAGGCCGCCACACGGACGCCATTAGATGTAGCTCCACAGCGTTCATAAAGTAGCTTCACCAACTTGTTCTGCATGCATTAGAAGTGGAATGAAGTTGATGGGGTCAAGTTTGTGGCATCAGTACATGTTGAAGTAAAAACTGGTCACTTCCTGTTTCCACTGGGGGGCGCTATGAGTAAGGTGGGATATTAACATATTGGGGAATTCAGGGCGGAGCCATCATCATGTCCAGCAAGTTTGAAGCTGCTACGATCAAGTATGTGGGTGCGAGAGCCATTCGAAATTCGATGGCGAGAAACTGAAACGTCACCAAAATTTGTCACGCCCTAGCAGCCACGCTCTTTGACCTACAGACATGCAGAGCACAACTTTTGATCAGCATGGTCTCTGGATGATCTGTAGCCAATTTGAAGTCGATCGGACGAAATTCCTAGGACAAGCTCGTTCAAATATAAGTTGTGGAAATCGCCGTAACGAAAAAATTCAAAACAAAATGGCCGACATCCTGTTGGGATTTTACCATGACGTCAAGAGACTTTTTTTTGCGTTTGGTTATGATACATGTGTGTACCAAATTTTGTTTGCCTACGACAAACTAACCCCAATGGGGAGGGTATTTTGAAAATTTGTAGGGGGTGCTATTTCGGCATTTCGCGCCGACCATGTGCAACTGCCCAAAAATATTGATTATTTCAGATGTGGCCGGATGAATGTGGAAAGTTAGAAGCATTTTCAAATTTGGGAAAGGGGAAATTGGGACACGAAATGTCGGAATGATACTAATAATAATAATAAACAGCACGATTTCAATAGAGTCCTCCGCGGACGACTTCATCGTCACTCGGGCCCTCATAATAACAATAATAATAATAATAATAAACAGCGCAATTTCAATAGGGTCCTCCGCGGATGACTTCGTTGTCGCTCGGGCCCTAATAATAAACAGTGCGATTTCAATAGCTCGGGCCCTAATTAAAGCTGCAAGCAGTGATGAACGGGCCCTCGCACCTTCACGCAAATCGGGGGGGCTGGCAGGATGCCTTCTGACACGTCAGTTCATTTCTGTCAAAGTTAGACATCGCATGCAGGAGTGACTTGGCATATCCTTGATACAGTGCTGGAATGACATATTTCACATTTTGTATCACTTCCTCTTTCCACTAGAGGGAGTTGGAGAGCGCACTAATTATACATGTTTTTATATATCAAATATACACCACAGCATGTAACTTTCAGATAAATCGAAAGATAAATGTCTGATAAGAAGTACTTCCATTCGCCACTAGGTGGCACGATGAGTATCAGGAAATATGGTAATGAAAATGTGTTCAGGGCGGGACTAATATGAATCATGTGAAGTTTGGTGGATATCGGACCATTTATGTCAACGCTACAGCAATTTCATTTTTCATGGCGAGAGCTCAAGAATCAACGCTTGGCAACGGGCGTGCCATTCAACATTGGGCAAATCCTGTAAAAACTTTTGGTCACAACGTAGTCATGCTTACATACACCAAGTTTTGTGCCAATCTGATTAAATCTGTAGGACAAGTTCGTTCATTTACAAGCCTTGGAAATGGGCAAAAATGCACAAAAGTGGCACAAGTAAATTAAAAATGGCAGACTTCTTGTTGGGTTTGGAGCATGGCTCCAGGAGGCTTTTTTGTATGTAATAGAGTGTTACAGGTGCCTACCAAGTTTCATACATGCAGGTCAAACCAGCTTTGGGGGCTGCTGAATTGAAATATTCTAGGGGGCGCTGTTGAGCCATCTTGGTGCATCAAAGCACAAAAATCACATCAGACAACAGGACTTGCAACCTGTGATGTGTATGCCACATTTGGTGAGTTTTCAAGCATCCTTTGTCCCTTCAAAACAACATCGTGTTTGATGGCAAACAAGGCGGCGCCACGGTGACAGCGTTTGATGAAAACTCAAAAGCTTAATTTCTAAGTATCATCAAGGCCTAAGGACTTAGACCAGCAAGTTTGAGGTGGGTCTGATTAACCTGCTAGAAGAGGGACATCAAAGAATGTATAAAGTAACTTTCTCTTGCCAGTAGGTGGCGCTATGGCGGTGATTCAAAATTCCTCTGTAGATGTGTTCAGGGCTGGACTGTCATCATATGTGTGAAGTTTTGGCAAGATATTCCCACGTGGAGTCAAGTTACAGCACCATTTATCATCATGGCAAAACATTAAAGTTCGCTGCCAGGCCATGGCCACGCCCTTCAACGAAAACTCACAGTTTCCACAATAAAGCGTCATCAACGTCTTATGACATTTTTGACCAAGTTTGAGGTGATCTGGTCAATTCTGAACCTCAGATTGAGGAGGAGCAATGTGGTTTTCGTCCCGGACGCGGAACCGTGGACCAGCTCTTTACCCTCGCCAGGGTGCTGGAGGGGGCATGGGAGTTTGCCCAACTAGTCCACATGTGTTTTGTGGATTTGGAGAAGGCTTACGACCATGTCCCCAGGGGCATCCTGTGGGGGGTGCTCCGGGAGTATGGGGTTGGTGGCCCCTTGCTAAGGGCCATCCAGTCCCTGTACCGAAGGAGCATGAGCCTGGTTTGCGTGGCTGGCAGTAAGTCGGACCTGTTCCCGGTGAGGGTTGGACTCCGCCAGGGCTGCCCTTTGGGGTGGGACAGACCAAGGTTTGAAGTCGATCGGATGAAACCTCTAGGACTAGTTCGTTCATTCATGACCCCTGGAAATGGCCAAAAATGCACCAAAATTGCACAGTAAATTCAAGATGGCTGACTTCCTGTTGGGTTTAGAGCATGCCTCCAAGAGGCTTTTTTGTACGTCTCTGAGCGTTACATAAGCCTGCCGAGTTTCATACACGTAGGTTAAACTAGCTTCAGGGGCTGTTTCCTCAAACTTTTGTAAAGGGCGCTACTGAGCCATTTTTTGGAATCCGCGCATGAGACCCTTCAAATATCAAATTTTTCACCAGTTCTGAGATGTGTGCAAAGTTTCATGAGTTTTCGGGTATGTTAGGCCTCCCAAAAAGGCAATTCATTTGGAGGAAGAATAATAATAAAAAATCCTTCCATTTCAATAGGGTCCTCGCACTGCTAGGTGCTCGGGCCCTAATAATAATAATAAACGGAACAGTTTCAATAGGGCCTTCACCGGCCTTCGGTCGGTGCTTGGGCCCTAATAATAAAAATTCCTTGCATTTCAATAGGCTCCTCGCACCGCTAGGTGCCTTATATAATAATAATAAACAGCGCGATTACAATAGGGTCCTCACGGACGACTTCGTCATTGCTCGGGCCCTAATAATAAATAGTAATAATAATAATAATAAACAGCGCGATTACAATAGGGTCCTCACAGACGACTTTGTCATCGCTCGGGCCCTAATAATAAATAATAATAATAATAATAATAAACAGCGCGATTACAATAGGGTCCTCGCAGACGACTTCGTCGTCGCTCAGGCCCAAATAAATTCTTATAATCATATAAATATGAAATAAATATATTGAATTTAATACATTTAGAGGAAAAAATAAAATGTGAAAAATTCAAGTAAAAAAACATTATTGAATATTAAAAGATGTACAATAGAATAATTACAGACTCTAACAACTCTTTTCAAAAGGAACTTCTGTTGTCAGCTCATTCTCTTCAATTAGATCTAAAGATGGTCATTTCACATTTTACATGTTATGTGCCTTGCAGGTAGTAACATGACTCAGACTTACCCTGGAGATGCCGAAGAGACGAGACATTGTCACTATTGTATTGATTGTGTTGCCTTGGATGCTGCTCATCACTGTTTGGCGCCAGAGCACCATAACTCCTCTGCTTGCTACTCGAAAGGGTAAGGCTAGAAGAGGTAAATGGGTAAGACCTTAAAACATTTTTTCCATTAATATTTATTATTGAATAATATCATAACATTATGCAACAACAGTGCTGTGTTACTTACAGTATGAATCAGTGTCAGTGCAGTTTAAAACTAAGCAAAAAATGTAACATTTTGATATGATGTTGCAGCACAGGTCCACACTCATCTTAGACACAACAATCTATTTAAACGATTTCAGTCCAGTTTTCACTCCTTTTACATTATAGAGACAGCCTTGGTAAAAATCACTAATGATCTCTTAATGGCAGCTGACTCTGGGCTTGTAACCATTGTGATGCTTCTTGATCTGAGTGCCGTCTTCGATACCATTTTACATAATATCCATCTAGAGTGACAAGCTACCATTGGTATTACTGGCACTGCTCTTACCTGCTTTAAATCATATCTTTCTGGCCACACTCATGTTGTTCAACTTTGTAATTTCAGATCCAGCTTTTTTCCAGTTACTAGTGCTATTCTTCAGGGATCTGTCTTAGGTCCCCTTTTATTAATTATCTAACTTCTACCTCTTGGGGCAGCAGTAGCTCAGTCCATAGGGCTGGAACCGGAGGGTCGCCTGTTCGAGTCCCCATCCGGAACAAAATATGGAGCGTGGACTGGTGGCTGGAGAGGTGCCAGTTCACCTCCTGGGCACTGCTGATGTGCCCTTGAACAAGGCACCTAACCCCCCATCCGCTCAGGGCGCCTCACCAAGGGCAGCCCCCTCACTCTGATATCTCTCCACTTTGTGCATGTATAGGTCCTGTTTGTGCATGTGTGTGTCTTTCGGACCTGTGTGTAATTGACAAGCAAGAGTGAAAACACTGAATTTCCCCTCACGGGGATTAATAAAGTAAATAAACTTAAACTTGGCCATATCTTCAGAAAAACTGTTTATATCTTCAAAAACTTAATTCCACTGCTATGCAAATGACACCCAGCTCTATCTATGCACCAAGCCTAATTCCACTCTTCCACCCAATTCCCTTTCTGATTGCTTATTGGATATTAAATCTTGACTCTTGTATAACTTCCTCAAACTGTAATAAAACTGGGGTTCTCCTTGTAGGTACTACATCTACTTTGTGTAAACTGCATAGTTTCCCCCTGACCATTGACAACTCCAAAGTCCGTCCTTCCCCCTAGGTTAAGAGTCTGGGTGTCATCCTGGACAGTACATTGCATACACCTCACAGCACCGCTATCCTTGTTCACTCTTCATGCTATATTGATTGTTGCAATTCTGTCCTCTGGTCCTCCCATCAAGTATAATCATAAACTCAATTTGGTCCAGAATTCAGCCACACGTATCATTACTTTAGATCATATCACTCCTGTTCTCCAGCAGCTTCACTGGCTTCCTGTTAAATATCATATCGATTTCAAGATTTCACTTGTCGCCTTTAATGCCCTTCATAATCAAGCCCTTTGGTACCTGTCTGAACTGCTTCATATCTATACACCATCCTGTACTCTTAGATCTGCTTCTGCAATTAAACTCACATCACCATCTGCTGGCTTGACTACAATGGGTTCGAGAGCCTTCAGCCATTCTTTCCCCCGCCTTTGGAACTCTCTCCCCCATGACATTTGCAATATTGACTTTGTATCCACTTTAAAATCCAGTCCGAAAACACACCTTTTCAAGGTGGCATATTCAGTCTGCTTTAATGGTGTGACACACATACACACACACACACACATCAAGACTTGCACTGATGATGACTTTATGATGATAATTTAATACCAAATTGTTATAATTATGATTTTTGTCTAGTTATTTTGTCTGATTATTATAGTATATTACTACATTGTTTGACTTTATGATTTATAAATACATGTTGCAGACAGTTTTTTTTGACTGAGTCTTGTAAAGGACTTGTAAAGGAGTCTTGTTATTATTATTATTATTATTATTATTATTATTATTAATAATAATAATAATAATAATAATAATGCCTTGAAGCCAGGGTGTAATGCATGGTTCTGTTTACTATATGATGTGTTTAGCACCAAATTGTCTACAGATTAAATAGAGTTTCTTGTAAGACAACAAACTGTCAATAAGAAACACAAATCTGAATATACAATCACTTCATGTAGCACAAGGTCTCATCAGTATTTGACAGCACACAGAGGCTCACTGTAATCATTTCCCCTGGCTAGATGACAGACGTGATGGTCGTTCCAACTCCAGGAATACTTTTGCTCTCAAGGAGTACTGCCCACTTCAGTATGTCTACAGCAGGCCTCTGCCCTGGTCTGACATCCTACCTACCATCCACATCATCACTCCCACCTACAGCCGTCCAGTACAGAAGGCAGAGCTGACACGTCTATCCAACACTTTGCTGCACGTACCCAACCTGCACTGGATCCTGGTGGAGGACTCCCAGAGGAGGAGCACTATGGTCAGCCGTCTCCTCCTGGAAACAGGACTCAACTACACCCACCTTAATGTAGAGACGCCCCGGAACTATAAAGTACGCGGGGACACTAGGGACCCCCGAATACCTCGGGGTACCCTACAGAGGAACCTAGCCCTTCGGTGGCTCCGGGATAAATTTAGTGTAAACAGAAGCCAGCCCGGGATTGTCTACTTTGCAGACGATGACAACACATACAGTCTAGAGCTGTTTGAGGAGGTAAACATTTATATTGCAAAGAAAAAAAACAGGATGTAGAGCTGAATTTCTCTTTAAGAGTGCAATGTCCAGCCCATTCTCATTCCGAAGTTGTCAAATACCACCATTTTGTCAGTGATTTTAGTGTCAGACACCAGCGCCACAAGCCTTCTTTTGTGGCAGTATGACACGCTGCTAGGTGGTGTCCCTTTGTACTGCAGCTGGATTGAACCTTTCATGGTTTCCTAACACACTGCTGGTCAGCCTGCTGGAGTAGTATGATATGCAGATGGGCGGTGTCAGTTCATACGGTAGCCAGAGGCCACCTGTCGTGACAACATAATAGGTATCATACATACGATACGACAGAATCAGTGTGAAATGCTGCTGGTAACAATGTAATATAAGGAGCAGGAAAGTCCCAATAGGATGGGTGGGAGGGGTGGTGGATGGGTCCAACAAATCCCAGACTTTCAACCAGGAGGCAGATGTTCGCATTCCATATAAATGTAGAGCCAAGCCATGTTTTTTTCTAAACCTAACCAGGTACTTTTGTTGCCTAAACCTAATCATGTGCTTTTGTTGCCCTAACCTGACCATGTGCTTTTGTTGCCCAAACCTAATTGTGTACTTTTGTTACCTAAACCTAACCATGTGCTGTAGTTGCCCTAACCTGACCACATGGTATTGTTGTCTAAACCTAACCACGTTCTTTTGTTACCTAAACTTTACCATGTGCCTTTGTTGCCCTAACCTTACCATGTGCCTTTGTTGCCCTAACCTTACCACGTGCTTTTGTTGCCTAACCCTAACCACATGCTTTTGTTGCCTAAACCTTATCATGTGCTTTTGTTACGTAAATCTAACCATGTGCTTTTGTTGACGTCCCTGTCTTGGTTGCAGCATCCCAGAACATAAACAGCAGAGGGAGGGTACCGAGCACGTAATATGTAGATATGAAAGTCCACTGACAAAGCTGTGATATGTGACGACTTGGGTTGAAAACGTTTTGTAATGTTTCCTGCTCATCTTACATGTGTTTTGTGTCTGACTGTAGCTTCATTTTGGGATTGATTGAATTTAAAGTTCTCACATGGGTGACTTGTCTCTTGGTCTCTGTTTCAGATGCGTTTCACCAAAAAAGCGTCAGTGTGGCCTGTAGCCTTTGTGGGTGGCCTACGATATGAGTCCCCTAAAGTAAACACCTTGGGCAAGGTGTACGGTTGGAAAACTGTATTTGACCCACACCGACCCTTTGCCATAGACATGGCTGGGTTTGCATTGAACCTGCACCTTATTCTGTCTAAACCTCAGGCTTATTTCAAGTTAAGTGGTGTGAAGGGAGGTTATCAGGAGAGCAGTTTATTAAAGGAGCTAGTAACGCTCAGTGATTTGGAGCCTAAAGCTGCTAACTGCACCAAGGTAAGAAAAGGAGGCTCTCTGCATGTTGTGAAATGTTGTGTTGTGTGAACTGGCATTATCTGCAACAATCGTGTCTGCTAGTGGATGTTTCTTCAGATCCCTAGCGATCCTAACAATTTGTTCCTAAAGTCAATAAACTGAAAAAAGGATGAATGGCTCGCAACACTGCAGGACTCTTTGCAGAAAAGAATTATTTATTGCACTGTGATGTACGTTTCGAGCTGTCTGCTCTTCGTCAGACAAAAAATACTGTGTGAGGCCATCTTAAGTAAAGCTGATCACATGATGCAGTTAGATCACATGACAAACGGCTGCAGTGATTACATGACACAGATCTGATGTACTAATTACCTTTAATGAAAAAAGAAAAACAGAAAAACAATGCATCCAGACACAAACCAAGGTGTAAACAGGTAAGGAAGTCTGAAGTCAAGTCTGAAGTCACCTAAGTCATGTACAAACATATAAAAATATAAAACATGTCAAAACACCCATCAAAAAGTGAGTATCACAATACAATATATATCCACACATAAAAAAATGTGATTCAAAACGTGGACTCAAGCCAAAAATACAATATACAATAATAATAACAATATACAAAGATATAAAGATCTACATAGAGGGCACACTTTAAAGACAACATAGCCCAAACTATGTATTGGGCCAGAAAAGCCGTCATAAATGGTGGGTGTAATCTCAAGGCGCCCGTACAAGGTGCATAACTCAAAGTACAGGAGAACCTGGTCACTACCAAATGTCAAATCCACCTGGAGGTAACTCGTAGGAGCAAGGGGGGATTGAATGGAGAAAGAGTCAAAGGAAGGGGCGAATATCCATATCCTCATTTAAACCCCTGGGAGAAACAGTGTCCAAAGTGTACATCCAGAAAAGTTCACGTTTTATATGTGTGGATATATATTGTATTGTGATACTCACTTTTTGATAGGTGTTTTGACATGTTTTATACTTTTATATGTTTGTACATGACTTAGGTGACTTCAGACATGACTTCAGACTTCCTTACCTGTTAACACCTTGGTTTGTGTCTGGATGCATTGTTTTTCTGTTTTTCTTTTTTCATTTGAGGTAATCAGTACATCAGATCTGTGTCATGTAATCACTGCAGCCGTTTGTCATGTGATCCTAATTGCATCATGTGATCAGTTTTACTTAAGATGTAGCCTGAGTGTCAGACTGAAGCTCCCAGAACCTTCAGTCTGACATGGCTTCCATTGAAAGCGATTTACAAGGGGGAGGGAATTTGATTTTTTCCCTAACCAATCAGTAGAGATCAACGACTCACCCAGAATCTGACGTCATTAGTATCCATGCCTCGGGGGTGCCGAAAACAAGCGAGCATTGCCCGTTTAAAATGTCTCCGTCGTCGTGCACGCCCAGCTGCATCGCCGTTAAATCCAGTTTAGCAGCTTCCTTAATTTGATCCTCCATTAACGCGAGTAGTGGCGAAATACCTCGATAGCATCGTTAATGTGGTCTGTAGGATCTGTAGCGGTCGCCATTGTTGCTATCCTCACCAGTTACCCACAGGCGTACAGCTAGACATCAGCATGGCGCAGATTGGCTAATCGCTAGACCCCCGGCGTTCATTGGTCCGTCCATCGTTTGGACGAGATAAATCGCAAATTTATTGAAGTATGTCAGACCAGAGATGCAAGCCTACTCAGCTGAGTGGGCGGGGTCTATGGTCTGGAACCAGGCTACTTAAGATGGCCTCTCACAGTATTTTTTGTCTGACGAAGAGCAGACAGCTCGAAACGTACGTCACGGTGCAATAAACAATTATTTTCTGCTAAGAGTCCTGCAGTGTTGTGAGTCATTCATCCTTTTTTCATCTACAACTATCGACTCAGCACCTGCCCTTCCACGGTGAGATGTGCGTGTCTTTTGTTTGATTTTTTTAAAGTCAATAAACTGTCAGCTTACAGCCAACACTTATGCATTTATAGCCCATTTAAAATATATTATTATAATCTGCTTGTAGACATTGTATAGCAAGTGTGATGTAGTATATTACAACTGTGTTGCATTGTGAGACACATTTTCTGTTGTATTGTTTTATCAAATTGGTTGTATTTCTGCTCATCTCTGTTCCTTTCTTCTTACCTGCAGGTATTAGTATGGCACACACGGACAGAGAAGCCTGTGCTAGTAAATGAGGGCAAGAAGGGATTTACTGACTCTAATGTGGAGATATGACATACTTCATCTGACACAGGTAATAGCAGATATTTTCAAATGTAAATGATTGCATTTTCATGCATTGATTCTTTTGGGGGACCAAAGGAGAGCATCTTAACTCATATGTGGACCATAATGGGCTTTGTTTAAAATAGATGTCTGATCTTTACATACCATAATTAAAGGACTGTCTTCTGTGGATTTTCTTATGATTGTTTTATGACAAGTAATTTTAGCCATCCTAGTGGTGTGGCCCAATGAGTGGCGCTGTTAGTCTGTGAGTCGATTCACCACTTTGGTCCAAACTGAAATAACTCAATAAGTATTGGATAGATTGCCATGCATGTCTGTTCAGTAAAAGGCTGTACAAGCATACAGATTTCACTCTCCCCAAAGGATCAATTTATCAATTCAAGGGGAGGGGAATGGTAGAAACCTCAGGAAGAGCAACTGAGGAGGGATCCCTCTTCCAGGCCAGACAGACGTGCAATAGATGTCGTACAGAACAGATCAACATAATAAATTAACAGTAATCTGTATGACACAATGAGACAGAGAGAGAGACAGAGACAGAGAGAGATGCAGGAGAGACGGTAATGATAATAGCTTATAACAACATTAATTAAAGTAATAATATTATAATTATAATTACGGCTATTGTGGTACAATATGTTGAAAGTATCTATTAATATCTGATAGTATACATATGTGACAATAATCATATGTGTATAATAACAGTAGAAGTATGACTAATGATAACAACAGCAGCAGGAGGCATCTGACAGGACCACGGCAGCAGCACAACCACACACATCACAATATCCAGGCACCACTGCGATGTAAGTTAACCTGAGAGACAGTGGAGCACAAAGGCTCTGGAGAAGAAGCCGAGTTAGTGACATGCAGTACAGCTGAGTTAGCAAGATGCAGTAACAGGACATGAGAGAGAGAGAGAGAGANAGGAAGAGCAACTGAGGAGGGATCCCTCTTCCAGGCCAGACAGACGTGCAATAGATGTCGTACAGAACAGATCAACATAATAAATTAACAGTAATCTGTATGACACAATGAGACAGAGAGAGAGACAGAGACAGAGAGAGATGCAGGAGAGACGGTAATGATAATAGCTTATAACAACATTAATTAAAGTAATAATATTATAATTATAATTACGGCTATTGTGGTACAATATGTTGAAAGTATCTATTAATATCTGATAGTATACATATGTGACAATAATCATATGTGTATAATAACAGTAGAAGTATGACTAATGATAACAACAGCAGCAGGAGGCATCTGACAGGACCACGGCAGCAGCACAACCACACACATCACAATATCCAGGCACCACTGCGATGTAAGTTAACCTGAGAGACAGTGGAGCACAAAGGCTCTGGAGAAGAAGCCGAGTTAGTGACATGCAGTACAGCTGAGTTAGCAAGATGCAGTAACAGGACATGAGAGAGAGAGAGAGAGAGAAGGAGAGAAGGTGCCCGGTGTATTATAGGAGGTCCCCCGTTAGAGTAGGCCTAACGGCCAGGCTCCACTGGCTGCAAACGTAAGCGTCACTTCAGCGTAGCATCGCAGCGTATTCATTGGGGCTCCACTGACTGCGTACGGAAGCGACACGTAGAGAAGCCAGCGGGGTTGTTTACCGCTGAGCCGAGAGGCTGCATGTAGGCTGAATAAAATGTTAAAGCATTTTCCACCTAAGCTATTACATATATTTGAGTTATCTACAAGTTTACTGTACTGTTTGTCATCCACTCGCTTTCAAATGTCCACCACGGACATTTACACAATGTCATGGATAAACATGGGTAAATGCATGAAAAAAAATCATTACATATCACCTCTGATAATGGTTTATTCATTTAAAAACACATTGTGCTCATTTAGCACACTATTTCATGTAGTTTTTATCTGCTTGAGGGTCGCGTAGGGGAGCGTAGCACGACAAAAATAGAAGAGCCGCGTAAAATAGAGAGATGTCGCGCGACGGACGGGGGTTGTCGCGCCGCTCCCGTTGCCGGTGGAGCCGCTGTAATTGATTAACGGGGGGAGGCGAGCTGCTACGGGACTCGTGCTGCAGACGTGTCGTGCCGCTGACGCGCCCAGTGGAGCCCAGCCGTTAGTCAGCCTAACTAGGGGCTGGTACAAGGCAAGCCTGAGCTTGCCCTAACTATTATTTTTATCAAATAGGAAAGTCTTAATTCTAGTCTTAAATGTGGAGACTGTGTCTGCCTCTCTTACCGCAACAGGAAGATGATTCCACAGGAGAGGAGCCTGATAGCTGAAGGCTCTGGCTCCTGATCTACTTTTGGTTACTTTAGGGACCACTAGTAACCCTGCATTCTCAGAGCGCAGTGTTCTGGTGGGATAATATGGCACTATGAGCTCTCTAAGATATGATGGAGCTTGACCATTTAGAGCTTTATAAGTTGACAGTAGTATTTTAAAGTCAATTCTGGATTTTACAGGGAGCCAGTGCAGTGAAGCTAAAACAGGAGAAATATGATCTTGTTTCTTAGTTCCTGTTAGTACACGTGCTGCTGCATTCTGAATTAGCTGGAGAGTTTTTAATGACTTATTAGAGCTACCTGATAATATTGATTTACAGTAATTCTGCCTAGAGGTAACAAAAGTTTGGACCAATTTTTCTGCATCTTTTCTGGTCAGGATAGGCCTAATTTTCGCAATATTACGCAGATGAAAAAATGCAGTCCGTGAGATTTGTTTTAAATGAGAATTAAAAGACAAATCTTGTTCAAATATTACTCCGAGGTTTCTGGCGGTAGTGCTAGAGGCCAGAGCAATGCCATCTAGAGAAACTTTGTCATCAGATAAAGAGTCTCTGAGTTGTTTGGGGCCAAGAACAATAACTTCAGTTTTGTCTGAATTTAACATAAGGAAATTGGTGCTCATCCAGGTTTTTATGTCTTTAAGGCAATTAAGTTTAGTTAATTGATTAGTTTCTTCTGGCTTCATCGATAAATACAATTGTGTATCATCGGCATAACAATGGAAATTTACAGAGTGATTTCTAATGATGTTACCTAAAGGAAGCATATATAGAGTGAATAGGATTGGTCCAAGCACAGAACCTTGTGAAACTCCAAAACAAACTTTAGTATGTAAGGATGATTCATCGTGAATATGAACAAACTGAAAACGATCAGATAAATAAGATTTAAACCAGCTTAGTGCAGCACCTTTTAAGCCAATTAAATGTTCCAGTCTCTGTAGCAGAATTTGATGGTCAATCGTGTCAAATGCCGCACTAAGATCCAATAAAACAAGTACAGAGACGAGTCCTTTGTCTGAAGCAATCAGAAGATAATTTGTAATTTTAACTAGTGCTGTCTCAGTGCTATGATGCACTCTAAATCCTGACTGAAATTCAAATATTCAAATATTATATAAATTATATAATTTATATAATATTTATATAATATAAATTCAAATAACTTCAAATAAATTATTATCATGGAGAAAGTCACACAGCTGGTCTGCAACTACTTTCTCAAGGATCTTTGAATGAAAGGGAAGATTAGATGGTCTATAGTTGGCTAACACCTCTGGATCCAGGGTGGGCTTTTTTAGGTTCAATTACAGCTACCTTATAAGACTGTGGTACATAGCCTGTTAATACAGATATATTGATCATGTCTAATAAGTGAGTGCATGGACCTCGGAACGCATCTGAACAAGGGGGCCCATAATTTCAAGTCATGCGGAGGGGGTGGGGGGGCATATGTATTGAAACAGACAATATTACTGATGTATTAAATAACGTTGCGGAGCACTTCTTTTATTCCAATGCCACACAGTCACATCTACAGTACACGCATGAACACGAACACATGCTTGCTCAGAAACCCCTCTGATCCCACTCTAACATTCACACACAACAGGCCAAGCCTATTTACACATAAACGTACAGATGAAGCAAACAACAAAGTAGCCTACATCCAGTCCACAACCACAACCAAAACTCATCCCGCCCGCTCCCGCAAAACTCTGAGAATTTATGCCCGCACAATAATAGACATGCATTGATTTTGTGTCTTCTCCCATCCCGCAGGAGAAAACAGGTCATTTTATAGGCTATTAATAAAGAGATTCATGGGGTTGTTTGTTTCGTTTCCCTGGCCTGCATGTCTTTTGACGCACTGGTCAGGAATAGCGCTCCTATTTCGTTGTTTTCATTTAGTTTTTAATGAAATAAAGGGCTGTTTCATATCCTATTCTCCTCCTCTGTATTTATTTATTTTTCTACCTTATCACGCAGTGATTGAGGTTAAGGCAAGCCCGGCGCCAGGATGAAGTTACTGAGGGGGCGGTTAAAAATTACGAGGGGGCAAATCTTTATTATGCAACATAGGTTCACAGTGAGTTATGAAGAGCGTGCAGCCGTGCATAATTGTCGCGCGTAATGACAGCTCGTTGCTGGTGAAACACAATAAACTGCACGTCTTCTTTCATGTTTGTCTCATGACTGACAGACAGACAGACAGACAGACAGACAGGTGGAGCAAGCGGTAAATTGGTATGAAAGCTGGTTCAGGGCATATTCGTCCATTTATTAATAAATATGGAGTGGAAACGCTCATGCATGTGCACCAAGTTCCTGTGTTGACATCCTGTCGCTAGGCTACATCTTCATCTTCTTCTTCTTCTTCTTCTTCTTCTACTGTTTAAGGCGGTTGGCAAACAGCGAATTGGTCCATTACTGCCACCAACTGGTGGAGTGTGGATCAAAATGACTATTACACCTTTAAAAAAAAAAAAAAAAAAAAAGGCTACATCCCGATCCCGCAGTGTTTTTTTTAGCCGCCCATTCCCGCCCGCAGCAAAGTACAAACCGCCCGCTCCTGCGATATTTGCGGCAGGACCCAATCCCAATGCAGCCCTCTATGTCAGAGTACAAAAGTTACCTGGGCCATGGCCCCCCTGGCCCCCCCGGTTCCGCGGTCTGTGAGTGAGTGTTAGTTAAAGGTAAGACTTCCTTAAGTAGCCTAGTTGGGATGGGGTCTAAGAGACACGTTGATGATTTACTGTAGATGAAGAAATCACTGCAGTCAATTGTTGAGGAGAAATCGGGGAGAAGCTATCTAAATATATATTAGGTCATACAGCTGTGTTTGAGGGCAGATAGGTACTATCTGAGGAGAGGAGGTCATAAATTTAGCCTCTAATACTTAGAATTTTGTCATTAAAAAAGCTCATAAAATCAATACTGCTAAGGGCTAAAGGAATACAAGGCTCAATAGAGCTGTGACTCTCAGTCAGCCTGGCTACAGTGCTGAAAAGAAACCTGGGGTTGTTCTTATTTTCTTCTATTAAAGCTGAGCAATAGTTTGCTCTAAATCCTACTGACTTTGGTGACCCCCTAAGCTTTTATTTATCATCACAATGAAATACATCACTGGATAGATTAAATATTTTGTACAGGTATTTATGGTCTCCAGAGGATAAATCATAATGACTATGATAAACCTAGAACCTAGAATTTGTCCCATACTGTTAAATTTCACATTTTAGCGGACAAACAACCACTGGCAAGGATAATTGGAATAAAGAGTTAATTGTAAAATAATGAAGAGTGGCAAAGGTGTCTCAAGTGATGGAGAGTGGCAGGCAGAGGTGAATTGGCTGGGCATCACAGAGAAGGTGGGCAGGAGGGTGGCTCAGAGTGTGGCTGGTAGCAGGGTTGAATCCACTAGACCTTGAGAGGAGCAAGAAAACACAAGGGTGAGGTGAGGATTACTCAACTAAGAAGCAAAATTGCAAACAAGACTGACAAGAGGCCATATGTTAGTACCACAAGGTACCACAAGAACTGAACAATCTGGTGAAGACTGGAATGTACAACCGGTTGTGAAATTCTGCAGAGTTGATAGATGCATGAGATCCTGGTGTGCAGGATGATGACTTGTGGGTGGAGCCAGGTAGCCAGCAGAAATCATGCCTTGCCCAGACAAACTGACAAGGACAGACACACATACATACACACCCACACACACAAACGAGGGAGGGTGAGAACAGGGGAGCACACAAGGAGAGAGGGAGACAAATACTTTGGTTTATGACCAAATACCCACAAAACTAATGACAGTCCCATCAGCCTTAGCTATATTTTGTCTTAAGTGCTAATTAGCAAATGTATGCAAACATGCTAATATACTAAGATGATAAAAATGCTTAAAGGACCAGTGTGTAAGATTTAAAGGAATATACTAGCAGAAATTGAATATCATATTCATAATTAACTATGTTTTCTTTAGTGCATAATCACCTGAAAGTAAGAGGTGTTGTGGTTTTGTAACTTGTCACATATGACGAGTTCATATGTGACAAATAGGCATATTCATATGGCGCAGTAGATATCCTCCTGCGTTTGTTGTTGACATTTTGGGACGGTGTGTTTTATGCTGGGTAATACAAGCATATGGTAAGGTTTCGGAAACGTGATTAGGTTTAGAAAAAAACATCATGATTTGGCTCTGCATTCATGCGGGAAGCAAACACCGGCCTCCTGGGTGAAAGTCCACGTTTGTTGTAGTTCCAGTGCAATGTGCAAAAAGTTAACATACAGCCCTGATATTTATTTTATATCATTTTTCATTTATATGTTGTGCAGCTGCATATTTTCAAACAGGGGAAAAAAAATCCCTGTCTTTGCATTTCATTTTGATCACAGTCTTTTTTTGTAAAAGTGCTTGTGGCATCTCAAGTGTGGCTTTGACTTGCAAATAAACATGTAGCATATTTTGTAAAAAAATATATATATATATTAAAATATATATCATAATAATAATAATACATTTTATTTATAGAGCGCTTTTCAAAAACTCAAAGACACTTTACAGGCAGACAATAAAAAAAAATACAATAAAGAGTGCAAAACAGCAGACAAAAAGAGGAAAAAAATTACAGACAAGAGTATCATGTATTGTACATATATGTATGTATGTATGTATTCAGCCTAAAGATACAGAGATATGATTTTTTGTCCATATCACCCAGCCCTAACCCAGCAGCATATCACACCACCGCATAAAGGTTGCTTTTGGTGTCTGTTGAAATCACTGACAAAGCGGTGGTAATCGACGACTTCAGAATGAGAATGGACTGGTCATTCATATCTATCTATCTTTCTTCCACAAAGTCTGCAATGTTGTTTCCACAGTAGCCCAGAAAGGACAAAACAAATGCTGGCTCTAGACAAGGCCATTTGTGTTTTCTTATTTTAGCATTAGCCACTGTAGTTCTCTTACACACTTGACACAAGGAAAAAGTTTCACTTGGTTGCAATCTGCAACCTTATCGCTACACACTAGACTATAAACATGCCTGCTTACCATCAGAATGTTAACATTTTTTTTTGTGAGTATGTCAGCATGTTGAAGGTAGTATTTAGCACACAGAGGCTTACAGCATGACTGTAGACCCATGGAAGTTCTGTTTGTAACATGTGCCTTGTTTCTGTCCTTTCAGGGACATTTCTCCAATGGACTCTTCCTGGATTCAAACCAACCTCAGAGCAATAAGCCAGGTTAAAAAATATTATCACAGCTCAGTGCCGTAACTGTACTTAATCATCGCTTAGAAACTGAGGTTCACCCGTCCACCCCAGCAGGGAACACAAGCCATGCGTTTAAAAGATTCGTAGAGTATCAAAGCACAAATGCACAAAAACAAGCTGGCCCATTCTGCGCCGAGCACTGGCTTATGCGAGACACTGGTATGAGTTGCCAAAGGAGCTTGCCCACTGAGGTTTCCTTGGAGAACTGAGACAAAGGATATTAAGTGATTTAAACTGCAGGAAGATATGGCACAGCAAGCAATTAAGAGTCCTCTGAGCGCAGTCAACACCAGCCAACCATCCAATCAACATTAAATAGGGCCCTCTTGTTCTGAAGCAAACTGGCTGTCCAGCACAGGGCTGTACAGAGGAATCAAAGGGGCTCTTGTCTTAGTTGAGTCAGCAAGGACTGACAGACTACACCGAGGAAATCTGAGCCATCCCCACTTGTACTGTAAAACACTGAGCTATTTAGATAGCACTTCAAACCCAGCACTAATTAGGAGCTCTGTTCGTCCTCAACAGACATTCACACATGCTCAGCTGTCTCACTGCACAGGACGAGCATATAGACACACATGCACTCAAAAACACAGAGAAATGGTTTATTCCAGTGAAACAGCCATGTCCCCTCTCATAGACATTTACTGTAAACTCTTGGTTATTCCCGATATGCTGTAACACTACTGAGGTCTACCCATATTTCAGAGGAGATTCAGTATCTGTACAGGCCTGTTCACTTCATAGCATCTTCATAAGCTAATTAAGATCTCACTGAGTAGTTATTTATTGTTTTAGATTAACTGGTACTATTTACTTGTTAGTTACCAGCTATGCATGCACAAGTCAATGGTGTGTGAAGCCATTACTCTAATAACTGGATGTCAATTCTATCAAATAGCTGTATTTAACAAATCTAATTATCCCCACCATGACTGGTTGGCTTGCAAGTGATAATTTCATACCCTGCTGATATGCAATAGCACTGCTTATAAATGCTGTTGTTCTCATACTGTGGCTGTTTGGTCAGTTATCAGTAGTCAGTGCGTTTACATGCACAGTTAAGTGGAGCTACAGATATAGCTCAACTAGGTCATTTAATTAGACTACTGTCCTTGTCCCAGTGTACAAGCACAGGTGGCAATATGCCCCCTTTCTGACCTTTTTCTGCTTGATCTATTATGTCACAGACCAAACAATCAAGCATCTTCCAGCTGTTCCACCACATTTTTGAACAGGTTGCCATTCTGTGTTTTTCTCCAATCCATGTATTTCAAAATATTTAACTCTTTCAGCTGACACAGCATGAACTGTGTCTCCTTGTCCATCCACAAATGCACAGCTCTGGATGTAGATATTGCCATGTTGTTACTGGTTTCTTCTTCTGTTATTTAATGCTATTCAACTTCAAGGTCAAAGCCCTGAATGGAAACTGTGGAGCATGTGCTGCACCTCGGCCAGTTTGGGCCCGATTGACTGTATGAATGCAGGAGTTATTCAACTCCCAATCCCATTATCTGGGTGTGTTAGTCTGACTTTGAGAAATTGAATTTAGTACAATTTCAGTCAGACGAACATGTTTACATGTATTTTAAAAGTCTGGATTTAGTGGGAATAACACAATAAATCAATTTTCTCGAATGTCATGTAAATGTACTGAGTGTGCTAGGCATCTGAAACCTTGAACTTTCACTCGGTAAGGTATAGGACCTGATGTTGCTACAATGCTGCTTGTGTTTCATTTGAAAGCTGCTCACATCACTCCTGCCTAAGCTAAGATTGTCCCACAAGTCAGATTTTTGTTTTACCATTTCAAAAACTGCAGTCTGTGGAATATTCACACGAGCAATACAAATCTAACAATAGTATCAAATATAACTGCCACCCCCAAATAGAAATGTCTAGCCTTTAGGTGGAACTCCATGGGTAAGAGAATATACTTGGTAATTTGTGTAGAGTCATTGAAACTAAAGGTACTGTATGTATAAACTGTAGCTATAAACTGCTCCTGTACAAACAAGCCTCACTTTGTTTTTCATATTGATCTGTGAGTATGTATGAATATTTTAAGGTATTATATCAGACATGGGCTATGATTTTAACAATATTGATATCCCTGAATTTGAAGTTTAGACAGGCACTTTGTGAATCTTTGTCAGAGGAGGTGATGACAGTCACTGGATCTCTGCTGCCATGCCAAGATCAGGTGTATCCTCAAAGTGGACCTTGAAGTCACCCTCCTGCTCTTCAAATATAATGACCTTAATATAACAGGAAAAAAGTAGGAGATAAAAAAGAGAGTATAAGAGCTTTAAGACTTGACTCTTACTGTGTTATCGCACACTTTAAATGTAAAATTCATCTTCAAAGTCCATTATAATGCAAGTACAAACATTTAAAGAATAGTTTTGGGAGACATATTTATTAATTTTGCCAAGAGTAAGTTCACATTTCTAACTCTCAGCAAGACAGCAAAAGCGTACTTCCAAAAACTATTCCCCTAACAAATTCTGCTTTGTGCACAGCTGTACCTGGTTAATTCCACTGTTGAGAAAGGGACCAGGGAGGTAGAGAGTCTGCTGGGGGCCAATTGACCAGTAGCGGCCCAGGTTCAGCCCATTGATAAATACAACACCTTTCTCCCAGCCCTGCGGACCCAAAGACAATTTTATCCATTCACAATGCACACATTAAGTATTTTTATACAATCACACACAAAAAGAATGTATGCAGCATAAACACTATGTTTTATTGAACTTACAGGCAGCTTCACAAATGTGTCACTGGGATACCCATATGCAAACAGCCTCCCCATGAAAAATCCAGGAAAGCTGGGAGCATCAGGGAGAGTTTTCCAAGGTGCCTGATAAAGACTAAAATGAAGCATCCACTTCAAATGCTCTGTTACAGCATAAAGTGATAAGCAATGCTTTAGATTCAATAAAGTGTACAAACCTATCAATAAAGCTGGGTTTCATATCCAGGCTGTAAATTGTAAAATCCTGCAAGGGGATATTGTTTAATAAAATTTCCCCCACGAGGCCTGCAAGAACACAAATCAAAAATGGCTTTTGCATTACCCACTGAGTGCTTGAATGCTTTAATAGCAGGCATAGCAATGAACCGCATAATGCCTGTCGATCACCTTTATGTTGTTTGTCAAGGTCCCTTCCCTGATGAACTCGTCCACAATTTTCCACCAATAAGCTTAAGGTTCGTCGTCCCTGTACAGATTGATCGCCTTTATGTCTTAGCAAGTTTCAACAGCCAACATTTAAGCATCAGTCACATCCGATAAATGATGTTTATTGGACAGTTGCCTTAATTTTCCAACTTAATGCCATACCTTAACATCAGAAACCACCAGCTCCAGGCTTTGGCGCTTGAAAAGGCCAATGTAGCTTCTGTCTAAAAACACCTAGGAAGAAAAACATTGTTGTCAAATAAATTATAAACAGTGTTGGGGGTAACACGTTACTTTTGTAACTTTGTTACTTAAAGTAACGTGTTACAGTAACATATTACATTTTAGCAGTAATGAAGTAATATATATTACCAACAGGATTTCAGGTACTATTATTGGTAAATGGACTTGCACTTGTATAGTGCCTCTCTATAGTCTTCCAACCACTCAAAGCCCTTTTTATACAACAAATCACATTCACCAATTCACACACACACATTCATACACTGGTGGCAGAGGCTACCATACAAAGTGCCACCTGTGGCTCAGTTTTTAACACACTCACACACCAATAGAACAGCCATCTGGAGCAACTTGGGGTTCAGTATCTTACTTCAATGTGCAGACTGGAGAAGCCAGGGAGCCTATCTTCTGATTAGTGGACAACCCGCTCTACCTCTCTGAGCACATTTTCACATTAACACCCAAAATAAATAGTTTATTGTTTTCAGTTTTCATTCATCCACACTGATCTATATCGCTCCACCTCCGCCAGTGTACCACCAGAAAGGTTGCTGTTGTCTGAAGGTTGTTGTGTGTTGTCATGTCAATACAGACTATGTTATATTGCATTCACATCCCCTACAACTGCAGCAATGCCAGCACATGCCGTCCTGTTCTTATGCATAATTCTCTGTCCAGTGCGATTGACGCTGACCAGCACACTGGGAACCAGCAGGTGGGTCTTCCAGCTCTGGTGTATTAATTTGCGTTCATTATAGTGACTTAATCGCACTCCATTCCTCAACATAAGTTTATTATGTTTCTAATAATAGGCCTACTAATATTTATCCATATCTCATAATTATCAGACTTTGATACTCTGCCTGACCCTCCCTGTGTCCAAGGCCATTCATTTATTTAAAAAGGTCTAGGCTATTTGACTGTTCTATATCACACTATCATTAATTAAGCAGGGGATTGAAATACAAAGTGGTAACCACTGTATGTGAATGCATGAATGTCAGAGCTGTGCAGCTTTAGATTTGAAATGAACTGAAATAAACTGGAGCTTCTGTGCTTTGATTACCTTACGTGAAACAACATGACCCTCATCCATTTAAAATGAACATTGGTTATTCTGAGCTCAATTTTGCTCAAACACAAAAGTAGTGTACTATGTAACGTATTACACTACACAGAGTAACATTGTAAAGTAACTCATTACTTTCAAATGAAGGTAACTAGTAATATGTAATATGTTACATTTTGAGAGTAACTTGCCCAACACTGATTATATGACAGAACATAACACACAAACTTTGCTTCACTTTAATGAAATATCTCAAAGGCGGCTTTAGGTTTGTAGGATGAAACAAATGAGATATATGAGTAGTACATAATTAGTGAGTTTCCGACATGCTAGTATACTTTTTTTGACTTTGGACAGAGCCAGGCGAGTGCTTTTACCCTTTTACCCAGACTTTTCCTTCAAGTTAAGTTTAAACCAACAACAAATACAATTAAGATCATGATGTATGAAATTGATTAATCATGGGGGGCAATCACATCCATACTGCATCAGGTC